TGTGTTTTCGGTCGTTGTAGTCAGAGCTGAGTGCTGATGTCAGCATTTTGAAGGCTTAAGCACCATGCAACCAGAAGGGAGAGGAAATGACTCTCTCCTACTCTCCCTCTCTAATTACTATTGACCATATATGGGTGGCCTATGGCTCATCCAACAGGACAGCATAGGAAAAAGCTGTAATTGTCAGGACAGGTCGGTCTGCTGCTGTTGGAACACTCTCATGTAGCCCACTATTATATCCTGTGTATAAAAAAAGAAAGGAGATGAAGCATACAGTACAAGTTTGAGACTTTTTTAGGTAACTGACAGGAAATGAGTGGACTGAGTCTTTTTGAAGTGGACCAGCTATGCTTTTTCTTATTTCTTACATATATTTTTCCTATAGGAGTAAAGATATCAGCACTAGCAGCATGTCCAGAGTGCCTAGCGCATGTTAGTTGGATAAGCGGTTCAGAAAGTGGATGGATGGATGCTGTAATAACGGTGGATAGTTTCAGGCAATGTGATCGGCACATGTGCAAGTATTCTCTATGAGCCAAAACCTCAAGTTTCGGACGGTCTTTGCACTCTTGGCCCTTTTTGATGTCAGAGAGAGCAGAGCATCTCTAATCTAGCACCTCTGGCTGTTATCTGTTATTAAATAAGCCCCGCCCACCTGCTGTTCACATCTTAGTGTTGCAAGGGCCAACTGACCAGAGCAAAATAAATAAATCAGCTGTGAGGGGAGTGGGAAACTGAGCTAAAAGCGCTTGTTTCAGACAGAGCTGAACTGAGGGGCTGCAGGAAGGCCTAGTATAACATAAATAACGACTATTTTTAAACTGTGACTCATGCAGAGCTACTCAAGTCAAAGAATAACAATTAGCAAAATAGAGCTCCTTTAAATCGAAACTGATATAGCATCAGTGACGTCACGATACAGTATTTTCAGCAGCTGCAAAGATTTTAAAGACAAAAAATAGAAACACGCATCCAGGCTGACTCACTGTACTATTTTCTTTCTAACCTGGAGAGGCTTATTTTTCTCATTCATTAGTCCACCCCTTGTTTTCTTAATAAAACAATAAATTATTTAAAAACAATGTTAGCTAATATTGGGGGGGGGCTCTTTGCATGCTTGAATTGCTCATAGTACGATTTCCTACTTTGAATATGTTGTTACTTAGACCACCTGCCTAAATTCCATATTCAAATCATAACATCGTAGAATAAATTTATCAGTACATATAAAAACATCTTGGAGATCAGCTGATTAATTAAACTGCCAAGGCTTTTGCCTTTATTTGATAAAGCACTGCGGGACTAAATAGGACATTCAACAAAGATCCCAAATTGTATTAGAATCAGTGATTTAGTAATTATATGGGATGTAGACCACTAATCCATGAGCATGAGTTATGGCTCAAACCTGTCCAGTAGTCCTGCACTGAAACAGCCTAGACACAGGGTTCATTTAAGCAAATCTTTTTTTCAACTCCTCTGTTGTTTCTCACTTTGCTGTCAGTCACTTTTAGTTGGAGGCAAGATCTGCAAATCTGCCATTCACCAGTTTTTGAAGAGGTATAGTTGGAGTTTCGGCAGTTGCTTCACTCCAAGTGTAAAATGCAGTTTAGACAGAAGGCACAGGAATGTTTTAGAAGCTTTAATGTAACATTTTAATAACATTTGTTATGCTTTTATGCAGAATTAATTTTTTCCACTATGTTAACATTTTAGAGACCAAATAAAATGGTTGGTTGGTTGATTCAGTGGTTCTGAAACCTCTCCTGCAGAGTTCTCATTCAGAAATGAGGTTATTTTCAATCCTCTGATCCCAGGCACATCCTTTCCTTACTAAAACTTGTTGTGAAAGATGGGAAGTTTCCAAGATGTTTTTTTTTTTTTAACTTATTTGCTTTCTCACAGTCAGTTGTTAAAATTTTGACTAGAATTCAACCTATATAGGAATTTTAAGACTTACACTAATATTTGGTGGTTTTAAAAGATAATATTCTGAAATATTGTCTGCTATTTTTTTCTTTCAGACACATGATTTCCCTAACATTTGTTATACGTACTTATTTATGTTCCCGTTTACACTCTGTTGCTGTTTATGATGTTCCAAAATCATGTTGCCACCAGGGATGTTGCAGAGAAACTATATATGCAACATCAACACCCGGCACATAGCTAAAAGTAACATAAGCCTATCAATACATCAGCCAGGCTCTGATTTTAAGGAACACGCTGAATTTTGATCTGTCCTGTTTGTGGTTTTGTTTTTTTTGTAATTGTTTTTTGTGGTCACTACCTTTACCTGGCATTTCTTTTCCAAACTCGTCCATGCCTCAGTAGAGATGCAGAACCATGATTCATTTGTATTCAGCCCACAAGTTTGGGAACCACTTCGCAAATTAATCCATGAGAAAAAAAACCATTAGTTTCAGCCCCTGTAATGAATAAGCCTTACCATAACAGCATAAAGTTCCCTCCTAGTTTGTATTAAATGCTTTGATGGAAAGACAGTTTGCGTGGAGAAATGACATCAAGTGTCAAATTTAGTCAAACAGGCTGGCTGATGGTGGGAAAGGGTGACTTACCCCAAACACATCACCTACCTTGCCCCTAACACCACAGGTCTTTTATGGTGAGCTTAGAGTATGACATCCCTCATGGGAATTCTTCCATCTAGTTTTTAGTGTTGTTTTTAATAGTTTTTGCAGAACTTTTTACAGCATGATTGTAACTGTTAGAGGGGAATGAGTGTTTTAGCTCATTTAAAAGAAATAAAGAAAGGAAATAGTAATTTTCATACTAACTGAGAGGATACAGAGTAACTACTCTCACAGGGCTTTACTCGCTGAGCTCGTCTATTTTTAGTAGGTAAATGATGTGAGAGCCAGGTCACATGAGAATGTGCCTGTATGAGAGAAACAATTCATTTGTGGTAGTGATGCCTGTGGTGTGTGTGGTATCTGTGTGTGTCTGTCTGTGCGTTTTATTATCGTGCTTTTATGCTTTCAAAAAAGTCTGATCACTAATATTCTGCAACAGAAATGTTAAAAGAGCTGTTTTTTTTATTAGA